CAGGAACAGGTTGTGGAAGCAAATACTATTCATAATTTTAAAACCAGGTATGATAGGGAAATGGGACAGGAGTCATTGCTGTAAACAACCGATGCTCGAAAGGCGGGATCCAAGAGTCAATGCTCGATCCTGCAAGCACATATAGGTGAGTACATATAGGTGAGTACACACACACACACACACACACACACACACAAACACACCAACTAATCCATAATTCTTTCTCAGAAGGTCCGGAAATCCTAAGAATTCACAGATCTGCGGAAAGTTGGGTAGGCCGTTATTTACTTGTTCTCAGCTGGTCGCAGCCCGGACCACTTTTGGACCCAACCTTCCCCCTGGTGGAAGGCAGTATTGTTGGCGGGAAATATCGTCGGGTGAGCGATATTTACAAGTGGCTCGAGCGATATTCTCGGCGCCCCTCCCACGGCTGCCTTTGTCACTCTCAAATAAAAGTTTTATGCACGTTGCTTGTGTCTGTGGTGGAAGGGGAAGGAGGTGGAAGAGAGGCAAGGAGGAGGAAGAGAGAGGGGGAGGGGAAGGTACGGGTGAGAGGGGGGTGGAAGTGGTGAAGGGAGTGTGATAGTGGGATGGGATGGGAAGAGTGTGTGGTAATGTAAGCTAAGTGTGTGACGGTTGTGGAAAAGAAGAGATGGCGTCGGATGACGTAAATGAATATAGGGAGTAATAAAGAGACTGTGAGAGGGAGATAGTGGGAGGGGAGCCTTACTGAGGAGGCCGTGACGGTGGTGGAAGGGGCCGTGGAAGAGGGAGGGAGAGGGGTGACACGCACGAGGGAGCGCGCGTAACCCCTTGCTCTACTTCCCTTCACATCACTCCTGTGTAAATATTTTGTTTCATTCACAAAGAAGGAAGCCGCTGATGCATCAACTAACACTGATCCTCATGTTTATGTGGACTACCATCAGCATTGGTACTTTACGAGAACTACCAATGCTGATGTTCATCTTTAAGCATTGTTTCTATTTGATCGCTTCCCCCTTAAGTGCCTGAATCATGCCCTTATATTTATTATCCCTGGATCATACAGACATAATAATTATACGTATTATGTCTGGATTATGTCCTCAGTATTTATCATGTCTGGATCAAGTCTCCCCCTTTACTTATTCTGTCTTCCAGTATCGTTAAACTTAGCTACAAGTCTACTCCTGTAGCCGAAGTCTCTCTATTCTGGGGAAAAAATATTTTGTAACAAATCTCAGCATTTTTTCAACCTACGTTTAGTTAGAAAAATTCCAAAATAATGCTGTATTTTCCAGTACTGTAATGACGCACCCCTCCCCCCCTCCCTGGCTCCCATAGCACCCCTCCCACCCCCTCCCTGGCCCCCATAGCACCTTCCCCCCTCCCTTGCCCCCATACCACCCCCCCCGGCACCCATAGCACCCCCCCCCCAACACATTCCTCCCCGCTACTCTCTCCCCTCTGATAATTCCATTGTCTCCCCTCTCTTGTCTTGGTCTGGGCTAAAAACAATGAAATACTCTGTCAATACACTTTTGGGGCGAAGGCAGCAATTTGGGCCCATTAATATTCCTGTCTGGTATGTGGAAGTGAGGGGGACACTGAGGAGGCAAGATAGTGCTGTGCTTTGAATATATATATATATATATATATATATATATATATATATATATATATATATATATATATATATATATATATATATATATATATCTGACTGTCTTTCCCACACACACGCCATGTGTGACTTGCAGTTAAGCCATGTGTATAACATGTTCCACGTGCAGGGAACATTGGCGCATCCGACGCTAAGCAGGAACGACATTCCCTGTCTGCACAGGACAGGGAATGCGCTGAGAGCGCTGAGTAGCACTAGTGTAAGCGCTGAGTGCACTAGTGTAAGAGCTGAGTGCACTGGTGTAGGCGCTGAGTGCACTGGTGTAGGCGCTGAGTGCACTAGGAGGGATACGCCTCTATTCCACATTTTTGGTCAATCCTATTAATAACTAATTACTATTCCATGCTATGCCTAGTTGCCAATTAAGACAAAAAATAAAATCCACTGTACAAACAGTCAAGGGAAGAAGCACAACACTGCGCACGCTTTCAAACCTGCGTGACGCATAATCTTACATCTTTATCGCATCTTCTGTAAGAACGCATCTTTAATGATGCGTTCTTACAGCCTCACTGGCAAGGAGATTTCAACACGTGACTCAGCGAGTCACGTATAACATCAGAGTCATGTGATTCAACAGTGAGTCAAGTATCTCTTCAGCAAGTCAGGTATTTGACCAGTAAGTCACGTATCAAAACAGTCACATACTTGACGCAACATTTAATCATTCAACATGATAACTACATACTTGACGCAACATTACAAAAATTAAGAATCATCAGAGAATTATAATTAGTATTTTTGAAGGCAGAGTTGTGAACACAAGAGAAGAACAGAGGGAAGAACACGAGGTACAATAGAGCGTAGAACACGAGGAAGAACATGGGGGTAGAACACAGGGTTGGGTGGGATGGTGATAAAGAGAGAGAAGTGAGGGGACAAGGATTCCCTCCCATCAATACATGAGGACCAGAGTGACAGTAAACCTCCCTCATTGTCTCCCCCCCTTCCTGATTTCCCCTTCCTCATTTTTACCATTGTCTCTCCCCATTCCTCCCTCCCTGCCCTTTCCCTTATTGCCTCCCTTCATGCCCTTCCCTTCCTCCAATATACCAAAGCCTTCGTCCAAATATATATAATTATAAATCTCCTCTTCCACACCCGTTCCCTTTATCACCTTACTAATCTTATTCCTCTCCCATTTCCATTCCAATTTGTTACTACCTCATTCGTTTATACCCAAATATTTCCTTCACTCTTGCTGTTTACCCATATATTTCCTCTTTACATTTTTTTCTTTACTCTTCTTTTTCATTTTCCTCTTTACCCATATATTTCTTTACTTAGACACATACGGAGGAATTTCAGTGTCCGTGTAACTCGAAAATCCGGCAGATTAGGGAATTGGTTGTGGCATTAAGATGGCGTCCCAAGACCTTGCACACTCGCTATAGTTCAAACATCTTGAAAATATGTAAAAAAAAAAAAAAAAATATTCAACAAATGTCAAATGTATCCTCAGTGCTACACTGGACAGACAAATATACAGCTTTAGCCAACAAAACACAAACAAACTAACTACTAGAAATATAGTGAAAACAGAAATAATAATAATAATAATAATAATAATAATAATAATAATAATAATAATAATAAATCAACAATTCATAAACTATTGTATTTACATAGAAAAATTGAATGGGTTTTTTAAATTTATTGACAAACATTACAATGTTTTGTTAACAGTCAAGAGTACACACACGTCGTGGCCAGCACACATATGTATTTACTTCACTAAATTCGTGTATATATATATATGTCATACCTAGTAGCCAGAACGCACTTCTCAGCCTACTATGCAAGGCCCGATTTGCCTAATAAGCCAAGTTTTCTTGAATTAATGTTTTTTCGACTACCTAACCTACCTAACCTAACCTAACCTAACTTTTTCGGTTACCTAACCCAACCTAACCTATAAAGATAGGTTAGGTTAGGTTAGGTAGGGTTGGTTAGGTCGGTCTTATATCTACGTTAATATTAACTTCAATAAAAAAAATTGACCTCATACAAAATGAAATGGGTAGCTTTATCATTTCATAAGAAAAAAATTACAGAAAATATATTAATTCAGGAAAACTTGGCTTATTAGGCAAATCGGGCCTTGCATATTAGGCTGAGAAGTGCGTTCTGGCTACTAGGTACGACATATATATATATATATATATATATATATATATATATATATATATATATATATATATATATATATATATATATATATGTCGTACCTAGTAGCCAGAACGCACTTCTCAGCCTAATATGCAAGACCAAATTTGCCTAATAAGCCAAGTTTTCCTGAATTAATATATTTTCTCTAATTTTTTTCTTATGAAATGATAAAGCTACCCATTTCATTATGTATGAGGTCAATTTTTTTTATTGGAGTTAAAATTAACGTAGATATATGACCGAACCTAACCAACCCTACCTAACCTAACCTAACCTATCTTTATAGGTTAGGTTAGGTTAGGTAGCCGAAAAAGTTAGGTTAGGTTAGGTTAGGTAGGTTAGGTAGTCGAAAAACAATTAATTCATGAAAACTTGGCTTACTAGGCAAATTTGGCCTTGCATAGTAGGCTGAGAAGTGAGTTCTGGCTACTAGGTACGACATATATATATATATATATATATATATATATATATATATATATATATATATATATATATATATATATATATATATATAAACCCACACATATGGAATGAAATAAGTGATGACGTTTCGGGTTTTAGCCATGTTATTGTGACTTATGTTATGTGCGTGTGCGCATATATGTGTGTGCGTGCGCGTATGTGTGTGCGTGTGCGTATGTGTGTGCGTGCCCGTATGTGTGTGGGCGCGTGCACGCTCGTTCACACCCTGCCCAAGCAAAAGGACAAATGAGTAACGCGGTAATATAAGAGAGGAATAACACCGCCCCAGAGAACTAATGTAGCCGGAGAACAAAGTACTGGTGATTCACTGACCAAGTGTCGCATGACTCCCCCCTTCACTTATAAGGGATGACGGGTTCGACTCCCTACAATTATACCGTTTAGCGCGGGCAGTTAGTAAGGTTTATTGCCGTCCCAGAGTGATTCTTGCACATCCGAACCATCGATCTCTCCCACGGCGACCATTCATTCACTCATATCCACTCTCTTATCGCATCTGTAGATTAGAGAGGGAGAAAAAATCAATGGTACATAATTTAGCAGTGGCGAGCGGTCAATGGCTAGAGGGGGTTGCTGAGGCATCTATCCCCCCCCCTCTATTCCCCCATCCCCATCCCCCCCCCCATTAGGATGTATCTTGCGTCAGGCAGCGAGGGGCGAGGACGCAGGGGTACGATAACTCCTCTCTGGGTGCGTGCGTGAGGTCTCAATTTCCCGCTCACGTCAGTTTCCCTCCAGCTTTTTCAAAGTTTGGTTCTTGCGCTTCCGGAGGCGAGATTGCGTTTGGGGGACAATTGTTCTACGAGGGACTTTTATAATATTTATTATCTATCAAGCTGCATGTTATATGTTTATTTTGAAGTGCTCAACAGATAATAAATTAAGCATTTACTTAGTGCACAAACTTATGTCATTATCAGCTTATATATTTTTTTTTAAACCAAACTTTATTCCGTGGATTTTGTAACTTTGCCAGAGAATATAAAACACTCGCAACTTGCCTGAAATATTGCAAACTATACCCGAGAAGAAACTGTATATGCACATTACAGTTTCCACAAAAGTAACGACCAGTTTAAGAGCATGTGACAACCCAGAACATAAAAGTGTTGAATGATTCAGAAACGGAAACAATTCGAACACTTTACGGACTGTGATGAATATTAATGACTGAGCCAGATATTTTAGAGAATGACCGGGCGATTTTAGACTCATCCGGCTATTTTAGAGACCCACTCGGCTCTTTTTAGAGACTCGTCCGGTTATTTGAGAGACTGAACCGGCTATTTTAATATTACCGTCAAGACGCGACGCGCGCGAATACCAAGGAAAATCTAAGACAAATAAACGCTGATGTTTTAATATTTAAAACACTTTAAGATAATTAAAAAAAGCACGTGACTGAAGCACGAATAACTAGCTGCCCCATCCCTCACTCACACGCCCAAAACAGCCATAAACCACGTAAGAAACAACTTAAACGAACATAAAAGCATTAAATAGCCAGTGGCGATACTTCCAAAACCCATAAAAGTAAATTGAAACAACTTAACTGGACATTAAATGCTTGGAGAAGCCAATAAAGACCCTCGGGGCAAAAATCGATACATCAATACAAGAACTTGGCAAGTTTTGAATCTGGGACCGTGGTCAGCCAGCTGGTGGTGGCGGGGGGGCCGCACTGACAGGAAAATCTAGTTGACGGGGCGTCACGCTGGACAGATAAGGACAGCCAGCGGCCGACGGGTATCTCCACCAACCCAATTTACCCAATTATCAACGGAGGAAGCAACAAGGACGACTTCAACGACCCTGGGGAGAGTAGCGACAGGCAGCCAGAGATACGACCCCACAGCAGGCGGCCAGCAGAAGCCCCGCTGCGGTATCTGAATGGTGGTCGTTATGAGGGGACGACCCCGTGTGGCTCTGCGGTAGTGAAGGACACAGACGAGGGAGATACAGAGGGGTCCACCAGGTCAGTGGGTCAACGAGGGGTCGTGGCAACGCCCAGACGACGAGAGAGGATCGTTACGACGACGAGAAGGGGGGACGCCAGTTGCGACGACGAGAGGGGGGAGGTCGTTGCGACGCCCAGGCGGCGAGTGGGAAGCCGCTGCGACGCCTGGCGGGAGGGACGCCGGCCGACACGACATGCAGCGATGCCGGGTGACAAGCAGGCACCAGCGTCGCTGGGAGAGGAGAGGCCAGTGGGTGAGTATGGGTGGCAGCACTGCTCGCAAGGAGGACAAATTGGGTTATGGTGGCCAAGGGGCGCAGAGTGACGGGAGCCCCTCAGTGGTGCAGGGGAAGAGGAAGCCCCTCAGTGCTGCAGGGGAAAGGGAAGCCCCTTAGTGGTGCAGGGGAAGGGGAAGCCCCTTAGTGGTGCAGGGGAAGGGGAAGCCCCTTCAGTGGTGCAGGGGAAGCCCCTTCAGTGGTGCAGGGGAAGCCCCTCAGTGGTGCAGGGGAAGCCCTTCAGTGGTGCAGGGGAAGGGGAAGCCCCTCAGTGGTGCAGGGGAAGGGGAAGCCCCTCAGTGGTGCAGGGGAAGCCCCTTCAGTGGTGCAGGGGAAGCCCCTCAGTGGTGCAGGGGAAGCCCCTCAGTGGTGCAGGGGAAGGGGAAGCCCCTCAGTTGTGCAGGGGAAGCCCCTCAGTGGTGCAGGGGAAGCCCCTCAGTGGTGCAGGGGAAGCGGAAGCCCCTCAGTGGTGCAGGGGAAGCGGAAGCCCCTCAGTGGTGCAGGGGAAGGGAAAGCCCCTCAGTGGTGCAGGGGAAGCCCCTCAGTGGTGCAGGGGAAGCCCCTCAGTGGTGCAGGGGAAGGGGAAGGCCCTCAGTGGTGCAGGGGAAGCCCCTTCAGTGGTGCAAGGGAAGGGGGAAGCCCTTTCAGTGGTGCAGGGGAAGGGGAAGCCCCTGAGTGGTGCAGGGGAAGGGGAAGCCCCTTCAGTGGTGCAGGGGAAGGGGGAAGCCCTTTCAGTGGTGCAGGGGAAGGGGAAGCCCCTCAGTGGGGCAGGGGAAGGGGAAGCCCCTCAGTGGGGCAGGGGAAGGGGAAGCCCCTCAGTGGTGCAGGGGAAGGGGAAGCCCCTTCAGTGGTGCAGGGGAAGGGGGAAGCCCCTTCAGTGGTGCAGGGGAAGGGGGGAAGCCCCTTTAGTGGTGCAGGGGAAGGGGAAGCCCCTCAGTGGGGAAGGGGAAGCCCCTCAGTGGGGCAGGGGAAGGGGAAGCCCCTCAGTGGGGCAGGGGAAGGGGAAGCCCCTCAGTGGTGCAGGGGAAGGGGAAGCCCCTCAGTGGTGCAGGGGAAGCCCCTCAGTGGTGCAGGGGAAGGGGAAGCCCCTCAGTGGTGCAGGGGAAGGGGAAGCCCCTCAGTGAGGCAGGGGAAGGGGAAGCACCTCAGTGGTGCAGGGGAAGGGGAAGCACCTCAGTGGTGCAGGGGAAGGGGAAGCCCCTCAGTGGTGCAGGGAAAGGAGAAGCCCCTCAGTGGTGCAGGGGAAGGGGAAGCCCCTCAGTGGTGCAGGGGAATTGGAAGCCCCTCAGTGGTGCAGGGGAAGGGGAAGCCCCTCAGTGGTGCAGGGGAAGGGGAAGCCCCTCAGTGGTGCAGGGAAAGGAGAAGCCCCTCAGTGGTGCAGGGGAAGGGAAGCCCCTCAGTGGTGCAGGGGAAGGGGAAGCCCCTCAGTGGTGCAGGGGAAGAGGAAGCCCCTCAGTGGGGCAGGGGAAGGGGAAGCCCCTCAGTGAGGCAGGGGAAGGGGAAGCCCCTCAGTGCTGCAGGGGAAGGGGAAGCCCCTCAGTGGTGCAGGGGAAGGGAAGCCCCTCAGTGGTGCAGGGGAAGGGGAAGCCCCTCAGTGGTGCAGGGGAAGGGGAAGCCCCTCAGTGGTGCAGGGGAAGGGGAAGCCCCTCAGTGGTGCAGGGGAAGGGGAAGCCCCTCAGTGGTGCAGGGGAAGCCCCTCAGTGGTGCAGGGGAAGGGGAAGCCCCTCAGTGGTGCAGGGGAAGGGGAAGCCCCTCAGTGGTGCAGGGGAAGGGGAAGCCCCTCAGTGGTGCAGGGGAAGGGGAAGCCCCTCAGTGGTCCAGGGGAAGGGGAAGCCCCTCAGTGGTGCAGGGGAAGGGGAAGCCCCTCAGTGGTGCAGGGGAAGCCCCTCAGTGGTCCAGGGGAAGGGAAGCCCCTCAGTGGTGCAGGGGAAGGGGAAGCCCCTCAGTGGTGCAGGGGAAGGGGAAGCCCCTCAGTGGTGCAGGGGAAGGGGAAGCCCCTCAGTGGTGCAGGGGAAGGGGAAGCCCCTCAGTGGGGCAGGGGAAGGGGAAGCCCCTCAGTGGTGCAGGGGAAGGGGAAGCCCCTCAGTGGTGCAGGGGAAGCCCCTCAGTGGTCCAGGGGAAGGGGAAGCCCCTCAGTGGTGCAGGGGAAGGGGAAGCCCCTCAGTGGGGCAGAAGGGAGGAGATACAATGACATCATCCAAAACTGATTCGTTTATAGATATAAAAAGGGCCCCAAAAATTTACCCACACGCGTGAGTGCAGACGTGGGCGCGCGCACACGCACACACACACACACACACACACACACACACACACACACACACACACACACACACACACACACACACACACACACACACACACACACCAACCAACCAACTACACTAAAAGAAGCTACAGAAGCCACCTCCATCCACAACTTTATGGCCAGATTCGACAACGAATTTGAACATCAAAGTTGAAATGCAACAGATGCAAGAAGGCTAGCAGCTTCTTGTTTCAGCGCCTCAGTGTGGCGATCCAGAGAGGAAACGTCTGCTGCGTCCTCGGTTCCTGTCCGGAAGCGAAGGAGCTCCAAGAGATCCATAACCTTTAAACACTCATTGTATTACCTAATGTACATCTTGCAACCTTTAAATATCTAATAAAGCACAAAAAACATTATATATATATATACACACACACATCTCCAGCACACACATCTCCAGCACACACATCTCCAACACAACTGCACTTCCACTTGCTCCTGCTTACATAACACCAATCATACTGCTCATGTTAGCCCACATAAATATACAAATATACATTAGGACACGCATTTAAGTATGCATGTATGTATATAAGAGCGTCCCGAGCGGCGGGTTCCAGCGCCACGCCGCGCCACCAGGAGGCGCGGATAATCTTGTAAAAATCTCGACGATATATTTTTTCCTCTATTTTTTAATAGAGGATGGCGCGAGTGGTGGTGGAGGGGGGGGGGTCAGGTGACAATATTCCTGGGTAAATAATGTACACATTCCCCGTGGGGGGGCGCACGATCACAGGGGGGGGGGCACGATCACAGGGGGCGCACGATCACAGGGGGGGGGGGGCACGATCACAGGGGGCGCACGATCACAGGGGGGGGGGAGACGACTGGTGTGTGTGTTTACTATCAAGCTCTTGGAGCCCGCCTTTCTAACCAGTCTATTTCTCCTCTATTATATCTACTTTATGTTTTTCTCTCTAACACACAGACACACACATCCCCAGGAAGCAGTCCATAACGGCCGTGTAACTCTCAGGTACCTATTTACTGCAAGGTGAACAGGCACATCAGGGTGAAAGAAAGTTCTTCCTATTTGTTTCCGCCTCCACACGGAATCGACCTTTAAGCACTATACACTCAGCCGCGAAGTGTGTATGAGAGAGACAGAGAGAGAGAGAGGGAGATAGATAGAGAGAGAGAGAGAGAGAGAGAGAGAGAGAGAGAGAGAGAGAGAGAGAGAGAGAGAGAGAGAGAGAGAGAGAGAGAGAGAGAGAGAGAGAGAGAGAGAGAGAGAGAGAGAGAGAGAGAGAGAGAGAGAGAGAGAGAGAGAGAGAGAGAGAGAGAGAGAGAGAGAGAGAGAGAGAGAGAGAGAGAGAGAGAGACAGAGAGAGAGAGAGAGAGAGAGAGAGAGAGAGAGAAAGAGAGAGAGAGAGAGAGGCAGATTTAGACATACAGAGTCAGAGAGACAGAGACGGACAGAGGTAGAGCCATAGAGAGAAAGACAGGCCAAGTGAACTAGAGAAACAATACCAGCTTGGTGAAGAGGTAACATAAAAGCAGGATAGCTGGCCGGGAGAGCATCTCCAAGCAAGCGGAGGTTAATATGAACGGTAGCATATGTTTCCCCCTGTGTTAGCGTCGAGGCAGAGGTGGACTGAACTGGAAACACACAAACAGATAACAAGACCTTCGGGTCTGTGTCCCGTGATCATCTGCTTGGAAGAGACAGGGATCAGAAGGTAGCAATAAGGCTCTCTTATGACGTACACAATATTGACCAGATCATACACTAGAAGGTGAAGGGACGACGACGTTTCGGTCCGTCCTGGACCATTCTCAAGTCGATTGTGACTTGAATCGACTTGAGAATGGTCCAGGACGGACCGAAGCGTCGTCGTCCCTTCACCTTCTAGTGTGAGGTCAGGTCAACATTCTTCAGCCACGTTATTGTGACTCGTCGCGCACAAAATATGCTCCCTAGCTTATCAAATAGGCGGAACATCCATGCTGTAGTGAAGACGGCCCCGGAACGCTGCCAAGAAATGAGAAATGTTGAGTCTAATCTTAGAACAGCTTCCACTGCTGCTGCTGTTCTACCTGCAGCTGCCTCTACTCCAAGCAACTGCTGTTACTGAGGAAATCCGTAGGAGCCGTGATGCTGTTACTCTTACCACCAATACTGTGACGACCCCATAAGCCGTCCTCTCGTTCTCTTGTGCCTGAGGTGTGGAGGTGAGCTTCTGGTGTTACACTTTGGTCGCTCTCGTAGTCTCAATACTTGGACGTTCAGGTCCTGAAGGCCTTCCTTGGTCTTGCCCCAGCAACAGCTGTAGTGTGTGTGGTAATAGACTACAGGGCTTTGTGGCTGTATTTTGTATTTGCTTCTACAACAGCAGGGGTTTCGAGTAATGTACTCTAGTGACCTGTGACTATACAGTATATTGTATTCGCTCCTACAGCAGCAGGGGTGTCGGGTAATGCATTCCTGTACTTTGTGACTGTATATAAGAAGTACAGTAATGAACACTACAGTAGGCCTACTGATAAACACGAATTGTTCTATTTTACTGTATTTAGCTCTAATAATTTCACTCAAGTATCTAAGTTATTTGTGAAACCTACTCAATTATTAGCCTCAATAATGATAGCTGGCAATTTATTCCCCCTCGGCTACAACACTATTGTCACATCAATATTTCCACATATCCTTTTTAAACAGAAATATATTGTA